ACCGCCTCCTTGAGAGGGCCCCAGGACCTGGCCACAAGACACCGTGGAATGGCCCATCCCCGACGCTGAAACCCTCGGGGTGGGGGAATACCGCCAACCGGGGAAGAAGAGGATGAAGAAGAAGCCAGCGAGCCGCCGCGAAGTTGAAAAGTTTCGCCAAAACCCCCCTTAAATTTTCTTTTTGCTTTCTTTCTATAGTTTTCAAGTAGTGCGTTTTTCTGTTTTTTGTATTGTGTGTGCGTGCGTTCTGCCGTGGATTTGTCGCCGCCGCCCAGGTGTGGAGTACTGGACCACTGCGCCGAAAAGAAAGGTAGGAGTCATCTCCTACCCACTATTTTTCTGTTCATTTGCGCGTGGGCGAGGGCGATAGACCCCTGGCCCTAGTGACGAGGACCCTAGAGGCCGTGAACGGTTTGCGCTCAAACTTCTTCTTTTCTCGCTTTTGTATTTGGTGTTTAAGACCAGCGTTCCCTTGTTGTCCACGACCCACCCCTAAGAGGGCGTGTTCCCTTGCGGACGATCATTTCTTTTGCCTTTTTCTTTTGTACTTGCGCGTACCGTGTGCCCCTGCGCTGCGAAAGCCTCCCTCGCAATTGGCTAGTGAATTCCTTTTTTCTCACCGTTGCCTGTACCGCGTGGGGCCCACTCTTGTGTTCTTTGCTTGTGTGGTCTATTCGAGAGGCCCGAATAAAGCTACTGTGTCGGATACTAACTCGCGGGTCTTTTACTCATTTTCTGACCCCCTTGACTCCCGCTCCCGATAGAGCAGCCGGAAGGGAGATCACCGCGGACGCGTGCATTGGCACTGGCGCCCCGTGAAATAAATCGTCCGTGACTGTAAGCATCGGTACGTGGAGGGCTGTTTTCCCTGACCGCCCCCACTCTAGGGAACCTCCTCCGGGTCCCCTCCACCGATACGCCACAATGTAATGGTCGCTTAGCCTTAGTTTTGGTGATATATGACGCGAATATTTTATATTCTATGTATTAGTCAAACATAATTCTAGGCAGTCAAACATAAAATATTTGAAAATTATATATCGCGACCACTATAATATTAGACTATACCTTTATGTTACGATTTAAATGAAACTGAACGGAATAAATAAGATACGTGTAACCGTAGAAGTAATAATATCAATCCTTATATAATTGTCTACGGTTATAAGATTAAAATTTGTAAAAAACAATAAATGGAGAGACGCCACACATATAATATCTTTCGATAAAAAAAGGGAAAAAAAACTTTATATAAAATATACAAAAAATATACTTCGAATTTGCATTGCATATGCAAATTATTTATATGTACAACAAGCAAAACAAAGATAAAACGACGTAAAATACCTATATTATTCAATATAGATTACATATATTGTAAATTTCATCCTCGAGACTGTAGTCTCATATAACTACAATCTTCTGCTGGCAAAAAAAAAATATTCTGCTTCCACAATATCCTGCACGTTCTTGAATATCCAAACAAGTTCTCGTGTATCATACGCTACGTCGTTAGCGATTCTTATTCATTAAGTGTACTTTACTTGTGAAAGATGACGAAATCATTCAGTTCGAAGAAACATAAGTCAAGATCTCTTATTTGAACTCGAGCAAACGATTTTGGGAAATTGTGCATAAAGGTAAAACGATTAAAAACAAAAGCCTATAGTAGGCGTAATTAGCCTGAGAAAAAATCATGTAGTCGGAAAGAAACAAACACGTAGTAAGGAAAATTGCTGCTATGAGGATAATTCTCATAGACAAGGAAATTTTTGTAAGTATTATTTCATGTCATGTAAATAAAAATATTTTAAATTGTAGAGATACCAAATACAACGCGTGTTGAACTTGACGAGCTTTATGCAATTTATAAGCTAAACCGTACTTTGAAACTGCCGAAGTACTCATATACAGAAATGTGTGATAACAAGCTTACGGGAATTGAGCAATAGATTATGTATTTCGATCAGTATAACAGATTTTGGTATTACTAACAAATGATAATATATTCAATCTCTTTTTTAGAGTCATATACTTCGTCAACGAATGAAGAGTTACGAGTCGAGACATGAGCAGTATCCAAATCTAGTGTGAGTTATTTGTGTTGACTGGATCTCGTAACTTGTATGAATAAGACATTCAATATAATCTAAGCATCAAAATTGTAGATAACTTACGGTAAGATACGGTTGATATCGTGCAAAATCTTTTGAACATCAGAGATATCTTGTTTTAATCAGAAATTTTAATGATTATGATACAAAAATATCATTAAAGAATGCATTGTAAACTGAATTTGATTGGTGATATTCCAGAAGCTTTTAATTCTATACATATATGTATATGTATATACATATATATATATATATATATATATATATATATAAAGACCAAACAAAGATGAAAAACTCGTTGAAGTACAAATGCCAGAATTAGTTAGTGACGAAGAAAACAGTCCAAAGAGCGGTGTAAAAGAACATCCCACTAACAAAGAAGTGGTGCAGTCGTCTGAAACTACGTACACTACAGTGATTCGGGGATTATGAAATTGGAATGTAGAGATACAAATTAGCAATGTGCGGTCGAAAGGCAGGTTGCAAGGAGAAATTGGCAGTGATGGGTTTTTCGCAGAGACCAGGAGTGAATTATACAGAAATCTGCAGTTTTGTCGTTAAATTTAGATTAATTCAAGTCATCTTGGCTACTACAACCACATTAAAGATGCAGATCTTCCAGTTCAATCCAAGGACTGTGTATTTATATAGTGAACTCACCGAAGAAATCTACACGGTGGAACCGAAGTGATTCAAAGAGATCGCAGAAAGCGTCTGCAAACTCTGAAAAGCTGGGCTTTGTTTAATACGGGTTTAAACAAACAACCAGAAGAGTCAAATAAAAATTTCGTAAGGTGTTTAGTAAAATTTAATTAGCAGGAAACCTCGGTAATACTGATACTGGTAAATACTGATGCTGGTAATTATTGATACTGGTTATATTCATCGATGATGAGCTCATAACTCGTTCAATGAACAATATGAAACTCGCCAATTTGTGGATCATCAGGCGACTAAAAATAAGTATTATATCCTTGGGATAGTTTCCAGAGATGAAGATCCAGCGGCATTCAGACGGATCAATATTCATGAACTATGCTGCAAGGAGTCAATTAGGGGATTTCTTTACCTGATTTCAGTTACAATATTGCTTATTTCGTCCATGCAGAAATGTTAGTACGCCGAAACATCGAAGAAGATGCGCTGAAACGCAATTAAAAGGATTCTGAAATGCCTCAAGGACACAATAAAACACGGTATCCTGTTATCAGGTCGTGGAAATGACCTAAAAATATTGGCTTATAATGATGCAGACTTCGCCAGGGACAAAATTACGAGAAAATCGACGAGTGAATATTTGATTAAAGTTGGAGTCGGGCCAGTAACTTGGAAGTTAGCAAAACTGAACTGATCTGGACAAAAAGTCTAATGAGCGATCTAGTCAAATACAAAGTGAAAGTTCCTATCATATATACAGATAACCAAAACGCGATTAAACTCATTAAAATCCGCAATTTCATCGAGCACATCGATGAATGATACCATTTCATAAGGCTGCAGTAAGAAGGCAAGATTTCGAATTATAATATATAAATACGAGCGAGCAGCTAGCGGATATCTTTACTAAGCCTCTTAGTAAATCTGTTTTTGAAACCTTGTGAACCTTGTGAAATCATAATTAATTTTGGTGTAGTGGTTATCTGTTAGCGATTACACTGTCACGGTGCAGACGTGTTTGTTCACGGTCACTCCAAGCTGTCGCTCTTGTATTTGGGCGCGCATTATTCTCGCGCTCTAACGGACCCGAGTTTTTCGTTAATAATTCAAAAACTAAGTTTAAGTCAACATTTTGATGACGGAAAAAGTTGTTCAGTATCCCCCCCAGCTACCACCCCTTATAATTATGTTCACCAATAGCCGAACATCCTGTATAACTCAAATATATGTATATAAATATGTATAAAATGGAAAGATTTGTAATTTGTGACAGAGCACAATAGCGTGATTTTATGACTTTTGAATCAGTGAAGATTCGTGAATAAAAATGATCATAAAGTTAATCTTGATCACTAAGTACAAAGTTTAGCCGGTTTTATCCTCGTATCGCGCAATACTAACTGAAAAAATAAAAGATTTCAAAAGAACCATGAACTGGAACACTATGCTTTAAAAAATTTAAACGTAAAGATCAATTGTTTTTAAAATTCTATAAGAAAAGTTGAAAGAAATGTTTAAAAAATCAGCAAGTCATAAGGTCTTTTAGGTTGTTTTAAATAAAATGTTTAAATTTCAAATACAAAATATCTTAGGAACAAATTTTGTAATATTATGCCTTAATACTTTTTGTATAGACTATTCCATAAAATCGATTTATATAAAATAGAAAATATTTTCACTAAAAAGAAAAATCACTTAAAAATTTTGCAAGCACCTCCATTTAGACAAAGTCTGTGTCTATAATGAGATATCCTTCATAAAATGTACGAAATTTTACATGAAATGTTTTTTTCAAATAGCAAATAATTTAAGAGATAATTATGTTTATAGATTAAGCTGTATAAAATGCCATACCTTTGGTTGTGTCTTTGATACCAAATCTTGAAATGGTGCGTTTCTAAAAAAGTGCGATAATTGTATTCGTTTCTCTTCTGCGACTATATGATTATTATTATTTTCTGTCAGAATTCTTTTCATACTTTCGAAAGTTAATTCTTCTCCCGGTAATTTCTAAGAAATAAAATTATAATTAGAGTTAATAGGAAACTGAAAAATTCAAAATACGATATACCTTTTGAACGCCGGGAGATGAACCACCACTGTCTAATTCGGTATTGCCAGAATTAATGTCGCCTAACGAATTTCGTCCAGCACTATCGACCCATGAATGTCTAACAAATTTGACATTATTAAAAATACATAATAATGTAAAGAAAACAGAAGTGTCCCAATATATTAATTCACTGTGTGTTTAAAGTATTATTATCAGTATTATTATCAGTAATATTACCGATGTTGTAGTGAAACTGTACTGTAACCGGATCCATGTTGTAGTTTTCCACTATCAAGGCCAGCTCCTTTTAAACACTCACTTAAAACAGTCTGATCAACTAATAAAGCTGGTGTTAATCTTGAAGATAAACCATTATCATACTGAGACTGCAAATCAGGTAAAAGATGTGGTGCCTCCTTTCGCCGAATTTCTGCAATCTTAAAATATATAAATTTAGTAAGACAGATGACTTATTATAAAGTACAAATAGATTTAAAGCACAATAACTCACTTTATTTGCATAATCCATAAGTGAATTAATATTACAAACGTAAGATATTAGTACCAGCAAACTGATGACAATAGCGTGTAAGTTAAATTTCAGGGAAATACTGATTTGGCCACTTGTTAAAGCTAAATCTTGAAGACTGAGAACTAATCTTAGCAACTCTAATACTGTTTCTTCTGATGCCAATTCTACAGCAAGTAATGCCAACGTTGTATATATGGATTCCACATTTTCAACTTTATTACTTGCCAATTCTAATGATTCGTACAACGCTAAATAAATTTCAGGGCCATGTTTACGAATAAAGATTACATCTGGTCGAGATGCTTTTTCAATAGTTAGATCGAGTTGCGCAACATTTACCCTGTTCAAAAAATATGATAAATATACAGTTCAAATTATTAAAAAATCGTTAAAATATGTTATTGACAACTTACGTAGGTTTAGCAAGTTTTGTAATATTCTGATGCCTGTCAATTAAAGTATGAAATATTTTTTGTACCAAAAGTCGCATTTCAGCATCTGCAGCAAGCGACATTCTTAACAGTGGCTCCAAAAAACTTGGTGGAAATGTTGTATTTAGATGTATAGTTTGATATTTTGTACCGACCTATAAATAATTATATTACAGTAACCAACACAAGTTAATAAAATTATTAAATCGAATAATGCACAATTACCTTTAACAGAGATTTTAGAAGAATACTTTGAAGTAATACGTCTCCTTTTCCAACTGAAACTATACGATCTGGCTGACTGTATGGAACTTTACTCATAATAAACATCATAATTTCTATTTTCTGATAATCTGGAAGATGATTTGCAAATTCTCCAAGAGCATTAATAAGTGCTTCTTGATATAACTGTTCGTCATTACTTGACGATTGATTTCTTGTTACACTGACTCGAAGAAGAGATAATAAAGAATTTATTATTTCCAACACAGACGGACCTTAAAAAAGATTATTTATGTATAATTATTTTAACTTATTTTTTAATCGATCTTTGTTCCCATTTTATTGTTCAAAACTTACCAACACTTTCACCAGCTGCTATTGAAATAATTTTAGATAATGTATCTGCAATACTCGTACGAATCTTCGGAGACGACTTTGAATGATCATCAAGATGAGTCATTAATGCTTCTACAACTGTATAAGAATATTGAGACTAAAAAGAAATCAAATTATTATTTTGTGATTTGCCAATAATGATGCTCTTTTAAAAATTCTAACATTTCCACATACATCTAATACTCAATAGACATTTACTGTATATTATAATGCACTGAATATGAACCTGAAGAATGGTCTTAGCTAGCAATTTTAATTTTTGAGAGATTCAGTTCTGACAAAACAAAATATTATTATAAGACTGATCGAGGAAAAATAATATGTTAATTCTTATTCAATGCATAAAAATCTATAAGAAATTCTAATTGAATATTAAAAATTAGATATGAATAGCTGTTGAGCAGTGTAACTTAATATAGTTTTACTAACCTGAATAGAAAACATAATTATCCTAAATGTATGAATCGCAAAATAATTAGGAACCCATAATTGGTGATTATCTAAATGCCTGCAAATCATTTATGTTGTATTAATAGTTGCAACAAAATATTATTTATATGATTTATTCAAATAAAAAAAAATGTATGTTGATTAAAAATTGGAATATATAACTATCGACAAACCTTAAAACTGGTCTAATAACACATCTAATATGACCAAATGATGCCCGTCCAACGAGTTCTCGCATACAAGTTTCAGCAAATTGTGGTGGATCAGTTCGTTCTTCCGTTGGACTATCTGATGTTGCATCTTCTTTACTAGAATATCTAGCAAATCAGAATCATTAGTACATATGTAATAATTAACATAGTCAACGTGAACATTGAATGCTATTAGATCCATTACCTTGAATTTTGCATGTTGTATAACAATGATGGAACAATTTTGTCCATGTGAACAGGTTCCCAAATATTTTCTACCAAATCATCGGAAAGCGTTTTTCTTACGACACCCTACATTAAAAATTGTATGTTATAATATTATTTCAATTTAGAAAATTAAATTCCGAAATATATAATTAATTTTGGTTTATAATATAAAAGTTTATTAAATAATTACTTAAGTTACATATTTGAATCTCAAAACCAAAGTGTATTATCTTACTTTTCAAACTTCAGAGGACACCAAGTCAGGTATAAAAGCTTTATACACAATTATGAAATCATTAGAAATTTACATGTAATGTTTTGAATGCAAATAAAAAATATGTCATTTTATTACAAAAAAAGTAAAGTCAAACACAGGGTACTGCCGGTTTTTAAAATAAAAAATAAATTGGACTTGATACTATCTGGTTTTGGCGATGCAATTAATTTTAGTGACAATATCAATATGTTTTAATTTAAAACATATATTATTTAAATTATTTAAACCTTAAATTATTTTAAGCTATGTGATAAAGTTAATCACAACTATAAAGTCAAACAGCATTATAATACTAAATACTGCAAAAAATCTTTACAAATATAAAATGTACTAGAATCAGAATATACTAACAATAAGAACCTTTTATACTATTTGATTCAGAAACAGATATGAACTAAATATTATTTTTACACTACTGTAAAAAGTTTCACTCGTTAGCCGAAACAGGACAGAAAACATGTGTAATGAAAAAGGTAATTAATTATATGATCTGTTTAATTATTTTGATTACGTTTCTCATAGTTTTTATCATTTTTGTTTCTATGGAATCTGCAAATATAAAGGACTAAAAACTAAACGGCGTAGAAATAATTTTTACTACCAAAAAAATTAAAAAATCTTTGATGGGAAACATAAAGTGTTATTCTTCTTTTTATAATATATTTTAGTTCTGAGATCCAAGTATGTATATATGTAAAATTCATACTTGTAATCCCTGAATTCCAGCAAGCCGTATTTGTTTGCAGATTGCAGGGTCACTGTGATTGGAGTGGCACATCGCAGAGTATTTTGATACAAAGAAATCGTAACGTGTGTGATAAGACGGCGTATCCTGCTCGATGTTGGCAAACCGGACAAACTGGAAGAAGCCAGCACTTTGTTCAACTGAATCGAAAGATGTCAAAAATATAATTACTTTTGATGTCGGTAAGAAACAGAATAGTATACTGTACAAAACAATCACACAGTAATTTATTGAAATCTAATGAAACAATAAAAATACATATAACATTATTTATTGAAACTTACAGATTGTGTTGCCAGTATTTGTAGCTGTGGATCTGTTGATTCTAATAGCTTTTGTACCATTTTTAAAAAACTTTCAACAAATAAATTTAGAGTTTGTGCATGACATGCTACTAAAAGCTGATCCATGGCCTCCATAGCAATAACAACAAATCCATTTCTTCTCCTGTTAATGCAAATATATTTTTTTAACTTCCATATGTAAATACAAAATTACTTAATGTATCTTAAGAATAACGAGTAATTATTTATGTAATTGACATGAAACACATAAACAAAAATTTGCATCCATCACATGACTGTGCATGTTCCACAGTTATTAAATTAATTACACATTATTCTCTATCATTTGGCTGATTTATATTATACCTGTAAATGTCCCTGGAAGCCCTTTGAAATAAATATTCTCCAATTCTATCTAGTTTTTCAGGACTGCTTAAGGAATAAAAGGTCAATTTTTCCATATTATTTTTGACCAAGCCGTCCTAATTATAGAAATACAAATTTATATTGTCAGAAATACAAATGCAGATTTATTTTATTACACAGGGTTTCCCAGAATAAGTAGAAAATATTTTTAAAGTAATTTCATCACATATAAACAATAAAAAAAGTTCATATGAATATATGACATATGATCTTATATAATGTTATTTTTGCATATAGTCTATATTAAACAGTATTATAGCTCATATGTTTATTTGCGATTTCCTAAGTAAATTATCTTAAAATTTTTATTTTGTACTATCATACATAACATATTTTAATGTTGATACCTTATGTTAACACTTAATATTCTTATGACTCACATTAAAACTATTTTTACTCATTTTTATTCATTACTTTGGCATGGTCACATTTTTCTTGAACCATGTCAAAACATACATGGAATTGACTCAGTAGGTTTAATTAGCTATGTATTTGAAGCTTGTTGGATCAAATTGTTAATATGGATGTTACTGAATACCAATAGTCTTACAAATTGACTAACTTAAAATATAAATGGTTAGGTAATTAACCAAATTGATACATAAAAAAATAGTTACTATTGCATAGTTTAATACTTTCTGATACCAAAATATAAAGCATGTTCATAATGCAGAGCATTTTTTTAATGTATTTCTACTAATAATTTTAGCTGTTAAGAAGTAGTTTCACAGAATATAGCTGCAATGTTACTTAACCCATTCGAGACCGATTGCACACTGTGTGTGCAATTGATTTCCAAGGCTATAAGACCGGTTGCACACCAGGTGTGCAACAGTAGTAATGAGTAATTATCAATTATTCTGAATAAAATTGTTATCGAGGTAAAACCTTATATCACCTTATATTACACACATGGTATTCAATCCACTCCACGCAATGAAAACATTCTAAGTAATCTAGTTTTTTTTTATTAAAAGTGAATAATATAAAGAGAAAAAGAGCTTCGCTCCTGGGGACCGTTTTCGAAAAAAATCGTCGTCTCGAATGGGTTAAAGGATATTGCGCTCTATTTGTAAACTATATGTAGAAATTTTATGACATTATATGCATCTAACAAAAGAATTATTGCAATCTAAAATTTTTTATAACTTGTCAAAAAAATTAAATAGAACATATGTCAATATAAACTTTTCTCATAGTTTTTATCTCAAATAATTTTTACTCCTTCTGCGATACCTTGTGCATTAGAGGTTATATTTAAAATTTATTTTATTGATTTCTATTTATAATTAATTTATACTCAATATCATATAAATATTTCATATAATTTTTCAAATGTTTCTATGATTTATAACTTAGATGACATTTAATATTACATATATATAATTATATAATCTTCAATTTCATAATTTAACCTAACAATTTTTAATACTAAATATTTATAATTAACTCCAATATTAAAAAGTAATATTATGTTTTAAGCAATTTTTAACGTCCATAAAAATGAATACAGACAACTTAAAATTAATATCAGTAAAAGAATATAAAACATAAATCTAATAATAATGCTTAATATTTTAAGCAGCACTAATAATTATAATAGAATTATATTTAATTTTATTATACAAAAAGTAATGAAAAGTGTTTAGAGTTACCATTATCGCTAAATTAACTTGTATATATGTATAATATATAAGAACTAATTACAAAATAAAACTGCATTATAGACGAATTTCAATTTAGAAATATATATATATATATATATAAGAATTGTAAAAAATTGGCAGAGTAAATATTTTAATACTCACTTGTGGATTGACCGGAAAAATATTGTCAACGAGCCTTTTATATCGTGGACGTAAAGCAGAACAGCACCAACAACAACCTAATAAAAATATAAAAGAAATATTATAGATGAAAAATATACTTTCGCAAAACGCATAAATTTGTTCACCAACAATAATAACATATAATTAATTAAAATCATTTGAAGTATAAAGTGTTCAATTTAAGACAAATCCGTAATATTTACCAAGCATTTCGTTACGACTAAGGAATCACTGCACAGCTGATTAAACTTCGATCGCAGACGCTACCACTACATAGAAATGTAACTACATACGATAAATAATCGCTGAAAGTTTCGTATTATTGCCTATTGTTTATTGTTTATTGTTTGTATTATTGTTCATAATTCTGACGTTTTATGGAGTGCGAAAAATACTGATATTTGTAAAATAGTATATATAAATTAATATTTTACGTCTGACAATATGCATATATTTATATATACATATAGGTAATCACAATTGCTGAGTAATGCGCATGTTCAGTATGCTAAACGAAGGTAAAATTTAAAATCTTTATTTGATAACAGATACATTTATTCTTTAACAAGGACTATTGATAAGAGATAATTATAAAATATTACTGTTGAAGATAGTAATTGGTGATGGAATAAGGAAAGCCATATTTCCGATAAATTGATAAAAAGTTTATTATTATTGATAAAAATCAAAGACAAGATATTACAGTTAATTTAAAATAATGTAATCTTTGTTCTGCTCTCAATGTGCTCTGAATGTGATCTTTATTCGAAATTTGTAAAGTGTCAGCTACGACCTGCTACAAATTGAAACCCCTAATAACTGTTCAGGTTACAGTTTTCGTCTAACTTTTGTCAACGAATCAGCTTCTGTAAGTACGCGTGAATACAGATTTGGCGCAACTTGGCAGCTGGGAAGAATATACATATCTACACCTAAATGCGTATCAAAAATTTTTCTTTTACTAGCAAAGTATTCATTACTTGGTTATTAATGACAATTAGTTTTCGAATTTTCTAATAGGTGACATTTACACCGTCTTATTTTAAGGTTATGTTACAGTTGATTTTTGGTGAAAATCGTTTTTAATCATTTTTAACCCTTTTAGGACTAAACTTTTGGTCAATATGCGCAATATTTTTATTTACCAACAATTAATACAAATTAAAAACATAATTTATTTAAAATTTAAATTAAAAATGTTAATTAAAAAATTTAAATAACATTTATGTTAAACTTATACATATTTTATGAAATTGGTTTTATTAAAAAATAAATTTATAGTTTAGTTTTTGTCAATTAAATATATATTATAAATGTTAATTGAGAATGGTTGCAAACAATTGTATGTATTTTAAAATCATAAACATCTTTCTATTGCGAACAACTATAATTGATATATATAAGGTTGTTTCTGGTTTAAGAGATGTACCACCTAAACCACTTTAAACAGTTTCAAACATTCTGTTGTTTGCAGTAACCACTCTGAATGTTTGTTGATTTTTCTTGTTCTTTGCCTATATTGTTATGCATGATCACTTGAGCCAATAGTTTCTACTACTGAAGATATATGTGAGCCTAGATGACTTTCTTCTTTTTTGACCAATTCGAGCAATAGATCCATCAGGCGATACATTAAGTATACCTTATAAATGTACTTTTCAATAAATTATTTAATCTTTAATAAATATTCATACTTGTAGGGTTAAATATTGTTTATTCTAAACAATAAGTAATTTCTCAAAGTCCTAGCAAATATTAAAATTAAAACTGTAATATATTATCTAATATAATTTAGGTTGTTATTTGAACAAAATAGATTCAGATGAAAACAATGTAATTTGAATTTGTGAAATGAAAATAGAAAAGAGAAGATTATAAAGCAAAAATATTTCTAAACTTTTTGATGATTTATTTGAATCATTAAATAAAAGCAATAATTATGTAGGAATTATGTACGTTACTCATACAACATGTTGTTTGAATTACGGAGTTCAAGGAAACAGTTTGTGCTTTCTTTTTAAAAAACTTTATTCTAGCATGTTTTTACTGCAGTTCAAATTAATGGTTAAAAAAAGGAAATATAGATTGAATAATTTTTAAAATTCAACTTAAGAGAGGTAATCTTTCATTTGTAAAAATCTGACTATTATAATTTTATGTAAGAAAGGTGAAATAATGTATTCGTACAATTGGCAAATTATTCAAGTTAAAGTAAGTTTTATTTTGACTTATAGAAGTTTTCACAGTGAAGTGGAAAAGAATGAATAAAATTTTAATCTTATAGAGGTTCAAATGATTAAAGTTTGACAACATTGCAGTTTTAATTTTAATGCTTAGTAGGGGTATAACAAATTGTTTAGTATCATTTAGAGGTACTTTGTAACTGATTGGTTAGTTCAGTCCTGATTATAAATAATAGGGACAATATTTAAACCCACAATTAAAAATATCTATTGCAAATTAAACAGTTTATTGAAAGAAACATTTATATGATTCTAAAACACCTTTGGTTGTGTCCAAATAACTTTTATGTTACATGTTACATATAGATAACATTTGTATGTTTTAATGCATAAAAGCCAAACAATAAATGTCTTTTTCGATAGACCTGATTTTATAAAATATGTAAAGGGTTTTTTCAAAGAAGATAGTAGAGATATTCTTGAGCCAAATAAAACACCCATACATTAGTCAATAACATATCCGAAAAGACATTTCATACCAAGTTTTAACCCCATATTTCATCCATGGGCGTAGTAACAGGAAAAATTTGAAATTCGGCGACGTGAATGTAATTTATAACTCGATAGTGAATCGATTGTATCATGCGATATCTTTTCATTTTTGTTTTTGTTGGTTACGAGGTAACGAGGTATAATTAAAGAAGAAGAGAGAGTCGTTGATAAGAGTTTGAATGGTACACATCGTGGAATTTGTAAAAGTCTGGTTAATGATAATAGAGTTTATTGTATTTCATAGGTTTGGAGGTGTGGAGTTGTAGTTTGGATTATTATTATTGTTTCAGTTAAAATTATTTATAAAATTCCTACATTATAGAATTTTTTTAGATTTTTTTAATCGCAAACTGTAGTTGTGAAAGATCGGAAATTGTGCAATTTTTTATTGAAGATGTCGGAGCATTACTTTTATGTTATCGTGGTAATAATATATCGGCATGACAAATATTACTCAAGTTAGTGCACTTTTTTTAGAACTTTTAAATTTAGTGTATTTTTGCAAAGAAATCATAGGCTAATAAGCAATCATTGTATGAATAAACTTTAATAATTTCATTACATAAGGAGAGTGTAATTATTTACCGTACTTCATGAGAGTCGGTAAAGTAGAGTCCTGACCTGAGATAGGACACTACAAACCTATATCAAAGTTGGTGGACACCACGAATTTAAATGCTCAAATCAAAAGAATCAGGTGTGCGTATGTGCATTGTGTGGAAATATGGCGGTCGAAGAAGAATAGTTTAAACCTGTACATTCGGCAGTAATTTATTTGTAATAAATATTTTGTCATATCTCTGCAATCACATTAATATGTAATTTTTTGTGACATATAGTTTTTCATTTTCTTACATGTTATGTATAATAATCATTTCCGAAATACATATTCTTCAAATTTTTCTTTTTCAACTTTTCAACATCGTAAAATTGATGGAAATACTTCAAAAGACAATATGTATTAGTAATATACAGAAAATTTATTATAAATACATTCCAAATTACCAGAGTTTGACATGAAAGTAGATTTGCTTGATTTATATTTTCCGCTCGTTTGTAAAACCATTATAAGGGGATAGCGTTTTCGAGTGATCAAAGGTGCCAACAGAGAGTGTCGCCTCTTGTTTACTTTGCGCAGCTTGACGCAAAGTTTACTACAGCTTGACGCAACTTGAAGGTATATTCTTCATCTACAGCATATGTATATCTCATCCCTTATAAAACACTCTCTTAACTTTCCATTTTTACTACATACTCGCCCATTAATCGTCTTTTTACATACAAGGTGTCCACGCCTAAGTGTGACAGCGCGATATTCACGAACGATGATACGAAAAAGCGTTTATATGGACATTGCAGGATAAAAGGGGCTCTATGTTTTGGCGTAAACAAAATTTTTTTAATGTTATTATTAATGTAAAAGATATAATGATGAAGTTTCGTTTTTTAAATGGAACTATGTATTTTTTTTTTATCAGGCGATAGTGCTTTTCAAGATGAATTCATTAAGATTTAATGTATTTAACTGATTTTCATTAGTTTTCGAGATATAACGCTTAGAGATTTACTGATTTTCAGCAGAAACGTCTCGATTTGAGTAGTAAGTCATAAAAACGGTCTTATTGTTAAGTACCTACGTCCCTGATCGCGGGGAACCCCCAAGGCGAGGAAAGCGCACAATGGGCCCACCCAAAGATCAAACCACTCGGTTCGGCAGACCACACTCTACAGGCCATAAAACTGTCGTTTGTTGTTGTACGATTCCAGGGCTCTGGTTAAAAGTGCAAATAGCGGCAGAAATAATTATGTGTGGTAGAGTTTTGAATCATTCGAACTTGAACCCAAGGATTAGCGTGACGGGGTGGTCGTTTGAGGTGTCGGGACTTCAACCTAATATTCGAGACGACATCCCGGAGACTACGTACTGCTAACCCCAAAAAGCTCCGACAGGAGCTACTCAATCCCGGATCCCCCGGTAACAGATGCCATCGTGTACAAAATTACGTGGTAGAGGTTCTGCGAAGGTGACCTTCGGCGATTGAAACCCATGTGTGCGACAAGAGTGGTCCCGTCCTATGGATATTTAGAATCAAGTAAATTTGAGACGCAAAAATCGTAGAGTTTGGAATGTGTCGGGTGCAGAGGAGAAAACACGATCCGTGCCCGTAGAACTATCGGTGGAGCTACCCAATCCCAATCTCTGGGCAACGGATGCCGCTGATAGAATTTTATATGTTGTAGAGATCTTGCGAGAGTGGCCGCAACGAAGACCCATCAAACGTTATAGGAAGAATCCTGTTAGCATGGATACGTGACGGAAACAGGGGATAAGTGTACGGTCATCCCATCCAAGCCTAGTATCCGAGATGAGTCCGTGATCGCAGACAACATGATTCTTACTCTAAAACTGTCGTGGGGAAACACCCAATCTCATGTTTCTGAGCAACGGATGCCACCGACAGTAATAATATGTTGTAAGTTTAATCCGTAAGGTCCCCCGACGAAGACCTATCAAACGTTTCAAGGGAAGCCTGGATAACATGGGTTCTGTGGGAGGTACAG